GCACCAGAGAGACCTCACCACAACTGTCTCCCTTGCTCACCTTTTAAACTTTACCCAATAGTCCTATTACTAGCAGATCTTTCTGTCTAGCTGCCATTTAAATTTCCCAGAGCAACTCTATACCATGGTGAGGACTCCAACATGGAACTAGACACTTGGTGATACTGCCTGTCATAAGGTTGATCTCTGACAACGCCCAAGGAGCCACCAGGGGATTCGTTCTTTGGGGCTCTCTCAAACCTGGTGCTTTCCTGGATGTTGTTAAGAAACAGCATCTGTGCAGCCCCTATTTGAAAGCCAAATAATCAGTATCCACCTAATCATGTTTCCTGATGTGGTGCTGGTTTTGAACAAGGAACAGAATGTTAACACTGTGAAGTACATCACTTTGCACTGCAGCTCTGAGATCATGTGTATCTCCATGTACAGATCAAACACTTCTTGTACTGTATGTCGTAAAACATTATAAGCATTAGACAGAGCTAGAACCTTCCATTGTCATTTGCTCATTTTGTATTTTAAGGAGTTTATATTAAAATAAAAGCAACAACAATATTCAGGAGTAGTATCTCTCTTAAACAGGATGAGAAAGGTTTCATGAGAAGATGGCATGTAAATTAGAGTTACTAATTTATTGCTGCTTTTTTTTATCCTAAGAGTGAGGAGAAACACTTCTAAGATTTTCTGCATCATGTGCCAGAATAATTTGGTTGGGCTTCAGTAATGCTAATTCACTTGGTGGAGGGACCATTTTCCACTTCAGCCCAGGCAGTAAAATCCTCCAGCCCAGGCCTAGCCCAGTGTTTCTTAGGCCTGCAGTCCAAATAAAATAAAAATCAGAATTTAAAAAGGGAAATTCTACGTGTAAAGACAGAGCTGTGCTCTCAGTGTGAACTGTGGCTGTGAATCATATCTGCATTAGCTGTCCCTGTTCTTCCTCTTTCTTTGCAGCATATCACAATCTAGCGATTAGGACACACTGAAATTCAACAGCCATCAAGCGGAACGATGCTGTGGGCAGCAGGACCCTTTTGGGGAGAACTGATTTTTGCTGATAAATACAAAGAACTCCAGCTCGGTCTCTGGGTAAATGAGGTTGATAAATGAAGTGTCCATGATGCACAGCCCTGGCTTCCTGTCAGAGAAGCACCACACTCCCCATTGCTAGAGTTTTGATATGTCTGACTCCGTGGAGCAGCTTTTGCCAGCAGGCTGCCTATCAAAGGAACTAAATCTGCCATTTAACACATTGGGTGTTCTGTCAGCACAAAATGCTGAAGCCCTTAATTGGCCCTGCCTTGACTGCTAATGTTAGAACCAAACATAAATCTAAGTAACTTAAAATAATGGACAGTATTATATCTAGGCATTTTTTTTAAAAAAAAGTTCAAATAACTCTGAGGAAATCATCAGAAACATAGTTCTTCCTGAATCTTTTCCTTATGAGGTATATTTACCATTTTTTTTACTTTTTTTAAAAAAATTAAGTTGATAAAGATTTAATTATTACATAACCACAATGTTTGTTGTGCTTGTGTGCCACCATGTTGCCTCTGATTTATGGCAACCCTATGAATGAATGATCTCCAAAATGGCCTGTCCTCAACTCCCCTGCTCTTGTAAACTCAAGTATGTGGCTTCCTTTAGGGACTCAATCTATCGCATAGTCTTCCACTTTTCCTGCTGCTTTCTACCTTTCCCAGAATTATTGTATTTTCCAGAGGATTTTCTCTTCTCATGATGTGCCCAAAGTAGCACAGCCTCATCTTCATCATTTTTTTGCTTTCAGAGATCGTTCAGGCTTGATCTGTTTTAGGACCCGCATGTTCATTTTTCTCACAGTCCAGGGTATCCTCAAAGCTCTCCTTCAGCACTACAATTCAAACAAATAATTTTTTTCCTGATCAGCTTTCTTTACTGTCCAGTTTTCATGCCAGTATATGGTGACTGGAAATATGATAATGTGGATTACTGTATCTTGGCCTTGATCCCCATTGACACATTCTTACACTTGATGATCTTTTTCTATTTCCTTAATTGTTGCCCTTCTTATTTCTTACTTATTTATTCTTAACTAATTTGTACACTGCCCCATTAGTGCAATGCACTATTCTTGGTGGTTTACAGCACGATAAAATAAAACACACACACAGAAACAATGATTATAAATAAATGGTAAAAAAAATAAAAAATAAAACAAGTAACAACAAGAAGTGTATTACCTAAAACGTCTGAGCCTTACATTAGCTTCTTGTCCACAATAAAGTTTACATATCCGGACAATCAAGTGCTGAAGCACATCCATTTCTTTCGGAACACCCCATAGTTTCTCATGATCCACACAGAGGCTTTGCTATAGTCTATAAAGTATAGATTTACCTTTTCCTAAAATTCGTTGGTGCACTCCAGTAAGCAGCAGATATCAGTGATATGATCTTGACTGCCTCTCCTTGTCCAAATCTAGCTTGAACATCAGGCATTTCTCACTCCATAAAAGGTAAAAGCTTTTGTTGCAGCACTTTGACCATCACTTTGCTTGCCTGGGAAGTTAAAGCAATGAATTTAGATCATAATGGAAAATAGAACCATGAATTTTACATCATAGCATATTCAATTTTATGAAACTTTCGGGAAGATGCTTAACTGGCCACAATACCATTATTATTTTAATCATATTTGGATATTGTAGCCTCTTAAAAAATTGCAAATAGCATTAGAGACAGCAAGAGTAGGTAAAGGTAAAAGTTCCCCTTGACATTTATTCCAGTCGTGTCCCACTCTAGGGCGCAGTGCTCATCCCCGTTTCCAAGCCATAGAGCCAGCGTTTGTCCAAAGACAGTTTCCACGGTCACATGGCCAGTGCAACTAGACATAGAATGCCATTACCTTCCCACCATGGTGGTACCTATTTATCTACTTGCATTTTACATGCTTTCGAACTGCTAGGTTGGCAGGAGCTGGGACAAGCGACGGGAGCTCCCTCCGTTTGGTGGATTCGATCTTACGACTGCTGGTCTTCTGACCTTGCAGCACAGAGGCTTCTGCGGGTTAACCCGCAGCACCACCACGTCCAAAGAGTGATTTACTCAGTCTTTGAGATGTCGTCCCAGAGAAAGAGAGTTCACAAGACCGAGGAGAGCTGCAGTAGTTTTCTGTCTCAGTTCCAGGATCTTCAAGGGAGCATTTTTTTAAATCTAAGAAACAAAACCATTTCGGTGGCAAAGGTCTCCAAATTGGCACTAATAAGGGAGCCTGACACTAGTCATGGCCATTACTAACCCATTACAGAGGTCAAAAACACTATCAACCAACAATCTGGTACCATTCATGCAAAGAGCGAGAGTTAGCATTGCATTTAATTTGTAGCCATAGTGATAAACTGTCCATGATTCTTTGCAGACTCCCACCACCACAGCAGCGGCAACAATATATGTGTTGCCCAGTGCCATTGGATCTTGACATTGGCAAGCTAGCTGGGTGGTATGAGGAACAACTTCTGAGTATTCTGCACTTAGAAAGTCTTGCAAAGGGTCATCATCACGTGGAATTTACCTGGTGGCATGTTGCTGTTATTATTATTAATGTTCAGTGGCTCAGCCTTCCCTACCCAGTACTCACTAACTGTGCTGGAACTAGACTACGATTTCCATCATTCCCAATCAGTATGTCCAAATGGATAACAGAAGCTATACTAGAACATAGGGGAGGCTGGTGTGTCATTCACTTAGGTTTTCTGGAATATAACTTTTACCTGTGGGGAGAGAGAGAGGGTGGGAGACTATATTCCATAGATTATCTGAAACTGCCAATATCAATCAAGCTACACTAGCAAAGGAAACACTTAAGCACATTCTTAAAAAGGAAACAGTCTAGTTTGTTGTATTAGGAAGAATGGTGTGCCTTCCCCAGAAATTCTCTTCACAGGTATGTTGTTTTATTGTTTATGAAAGTGTTTTCATTTAGGCAGTAATGGATTTATTCTTGTCTTTCTTTTCCACAGTATGATGATGATGATGATGATGATGATGACGATGATGATGATGATGATGATGATAAAAGATAAAACACGGACAGTAAGCATGTTGTATTGCTGCTTCAGATTACAGAAACGACAGAACCAGAGACATATAGCCACCTCTTTTAAAATCTGACTATTCCCTCCCCTGTATCTGAAGTTTGGAAAGAGCTTGGCAGATGCTTCCCAAGGCTGCAGTTTCCTTATTTGGAAATAAGATAGTACACAGAAAACAGTGGGGGTGGGGAGGAGACAAGGAGCATCTTAGAAGAAAGCTTTAGCTTTGGTAAGTGAAAGCAATCTAGTGCCTTAGCACGAGGGAAACACTGATCAGAACGCTGATGCTTCAGCTAGGAGCAACTAAAGGTATGCTTCATATGAAACTCAAGGATTCACAATTTCACAAGATTTATTCAGGTCACCTCCCCCCCCTGCCACCACCAACCTGCAACTCCCTTGTGTCATATACTAGATCTGCAGATGGACCAGATACTAGAAAAGCTAGTAGTGGAAATTACCTTTTATCCTAGCACCGAGTATCACAAGTGCTAGAAATTATTTTGTCCTCTCATACCCACTGCCCTTTCTCTTTCCCTATGCATTTTCTTTCCACTCTCCCCCCCCTTCTTTTCTCATTTGCTGACCTTTCTTTCTCTCTCTACCTCAATACTTTGTTCAGCCTTTCCATTGCCTCTTAGTCCTCCTCTCTTTCCAGGCAACAGCCTTGCAGTCCTCATTTTCTCTCTCTCACACTCTTTTATTTAATTGTGTGAAGTTTTCGAAGTTCCTAGAGAGGAAAGCTACACATGGAGATGCCTAGAGATCCTCTAGAGAGAAGTCAGTATTCCAAGCCTGCTTTCAGTTTCATTGTCCTCTATACAAGTATACAGTATAACAATTTACAGATGTTTCATCTTCAATGTACTTAAAAACCATTCTTAAATCTTCTCTGTCCACTAGGCATCATCTGGGTCATATCTGGGTCATCATCTGGGTCATATGCTGATTTATAGCATATTAAAAAGGTTTTAATGTGCTGATTTTTAATAATTTGACATCAAGTACAAACATCACATCACATCATTCTGCAATAATTGAGTACCTCTTTAAATATATTAACTACCTTCTGGTTTCTGGAAAAGACACACAGAGTCTTTGCAACTGTTCATACTGCAAGTATCTAAATGACAGCCAATGCTACCCTCCCAGAGTGATGCAGCTGGATGGAACCAGGAAGGTCATCTAGTCCAAACCTCTGATAAAGGTAAGCCAATGGAAAGAATTTTTCCTGTTATCCGACAAAGTGACAGTGTGCTAGTGCCATGCAAAATACACATCAAGCATCACATGTTGATAGGTACAGTATTGTGCATTGTTGTACATCCCATATTATGGAGATGATTCTATCAATTGCAGTTTCTTCGTTCAGTTCATCTTGAACATGGAGAATTTCCCCTCTCTTATATGTGCTGAATCTTAAATGTTTAGATATTTTTGTGCATAAAAATACAATTTTTCATTACTTTGCAAATATCTGAATATGCCTAAAATATACATTTTTGCAGGGAGTTTCCCTAATATAATGTATGTTAATGTTATTTTTAATAATGTATGTATTACCAGTGTGCTAATATGCACTTTTTATACAATATGTTTAACTGGAGAATGCCACTACAAAGTTTTGTTCCAGAATATCAAAACTAAGGAATAGGAATTCTTCCCTTTATGGGAAGAATGACACAGGATGCTCCACTTGTGGCTTATCCTTTATTGAGCATATGACTGTGAACATAGGGATGGTGAGATGTAATCACGCCTCCTGATCCTGTCCCAAATTTCTATGTATTCATTAATACCTCTCCATGCAGAGCTTCCGCATGTACATCTTGTTAGCAGTGATCGGGGCTGTACCTTAACAACATCTAGAGAACCACATGTTCCCTGTTGCTGGCCTAATTATTGGGCTGGCCCTGCTGAATAACAGTAAATCTAAATTCTCACTGCTAAACAATTGTGATTGTTAAGTGAGTTTTCTAAATTAAAATATTTTGGGATGATGCTTTCAGATATGTTTTCTAGTTCGAGGTTTCACAACTGAATTTAAAGCAGACAAGTCTTACACCAAACTTATTATTTATTTATTTATTTGATTTATACCCCGCCTAGCTGGACCACCGGACCACTCTAGGCGGCTTGTATAAGAATGTAATAGAATTATCTCTGAATTCCATGCATCATTTGTTGTTTTTCTCGTTCTCAAATGGTTGCTAAAAAGGACAGACTCTGTCCTATTCTGCCTCGGGCTATTCTGAGTTATTATCCTTAATCACTTCATAGCATAAAATACCAACTTAAAATTAAAATAAATTGTGAAAGACAAGTGCAAAGAGTCCACACAAGAAGAGATGAGGCCCTGGTATCCTCACACTGAACAGTCGTAATTAAATCCCCAGATACACTGAAAGGAGGAAGAAATGCAGACTTTAATTGCAGAAGCTTTTAAAGTGGAGACTTTATTTTTAACAAGTCACAGCATGATACAACTGAAGATCTTAATGTATCAGAAAGATGAAAGGTGAAATAGTTTCAGTCCTATAACTTCTTTAAAAGATATCGAGCATTTACTGTCTCCACAATTTTGCCATTTTTGTTTTTGTTTTGGATCAGCAAGATGTTTAAAAAGCTGTAATCCTTGTGAAAAGTCTGTTTAGTCCCACTACAGTTCTGCTTTCCCATTCTGATAGGAAACTCTGTTCTCAAAAGCCAGTCCTTCTGTAGCCAAACTGGTACCTTTCATGTGGCCACTCACACAATACTCAAGAAGTACTATTTTATAAATAGTTTTTCCAGGGTTTACATGTCCCTTTTATTGGTCCACATACACTCATAGATGTTGATCATTTTTAATCAGTTTGGGACATACTGGAGGTGCGAGTGGGTTGAATTGCCCACAAGTGTGGGTCTCAGGAGGTAGTGCGCCAATTCCCTTCTCCCCCTGTCTGGAACTGGGGGGGGGGTGTCTAGGTGCGAGTGGGTTGAATTGCCCACAAGTGTGGGCCTCAGAAGTTAGTGGGCCAATTCGCTTCTCCCCCTATCTGGAACTGGGGGGTGTCTCTTTTGGAAGTGGTCCCTAAGAAGATGTCAGGGTTATTTACCCCAGAAGTACATTGATGAATGAGGCTGTCCCTTCTCCCCCTATCTGGAACTGGAGGGTGTCTCTTTTGGAAGTGGTCCCTATGAAGATGTCAGGGTTATTTACCCCAGAAGTACATTGATCAATGAGGCTGCCCTGCTGTATGAAAAAAGCTGTCCTTCAGTTCTGTTCTGGTATTTATCCTTTGGCCATGCAGTGAAACTGGTTGGGTCATGGAGCCCCAGGGCTATAATGGCAGAATGTGACATTCAGTCTGCCTTTAGGCTCTTGCTGATACACCCCCAGGGAGTATTGTCTGCTCAGTTTTAAGTCTTACAGTGCATGATATGTTGACAAGTCCATGCTCATGTGCTCTTCGATATCAAGTACTATATTTGAGGCCCTCAACAAGTCCATGCTCATGTGCTCTTCGATATGTACTATATTTGAGGCCCTCGGCACCTTTTTAGAGTGGGTGGTAAAGATATGGTGGGGTTCCCTTTGATCACACATTACATTGATGATTTTTTTTTCTACATGGCCCCATCCACTTCTCTATCGGTCAGAATTTCAGACCTTCTTCATGGTTAGGATTTCAGGCCCTCTTCAGGGAACCTGGTGCCTTTGTGGCTGATAGCAACATAGAAGCCTCACTGGCAATGAGTTACATGGGGCAGAGCTTGACTTTGTCACTGGGGGTCTCTTACTTGACAGGGGATAAGCTCCTGGCTCTATTCCTTTATAACAGTTTTTCATACTGTTGTTAGTTGTTGTACAGGCCATTTATCTGCTCCCATTCATGATCATATTGACCTTATCACTACACAAACAAAATTTAAAAACTTTTAGCCTTGATAAGCCTTGTCAAATCAGCAGCTTCCCATCCCCTTAGATTTCAGGGTCAAAACCTGATACCCAAAGGAGGGCCTTTTTGATGTCAAGAGAGTAGGCTCTTGTTATATCACAGAAGATGGGCCATGCACAGGTTAGCAGCAATCCTTCTTCTGTCCCGGGCCATCTTTCCTAGGTCTCTAACAAATCTACAGTCCTGCCTTTCTAACAAATCCAACTGGAAGAATTTCCATGTCCAGTGACAGAGTCGAGATCCCAGAGTTCTGCAATTATCCCCTGCTGATCAAATGACATCAACAGTAGAATGAGCTGGACTGTTGTTTTGTCTGGGCTGGATAGTAAAGGTGTTTGGTATATAATTAGCAGCATGTTCTGCTTTATGGTCAGTATTAGCAATTCCCATTCTATTCCTCTTTTCCTGACATTGACAACTTGCAAAGGTTCTAGTGACCTGAGAGCTTGGAAAAATACCAGTGTGGGTGCTACATAAAAAAATTGCTCTGCATACTGACCATCCTATTACCTACAGACCACTGACTTACTGGGCCAGCTGCTGGAAGGAATGGACTTCCTGCCATTTTGCTTGGGGGGGGTCTGCTGAAAACAGAAATGGCTGCTAAGTGAAAGGCCACTGTCCTACCAGCTTGTCCCTGCCCTCTGACAGCAGCACAGTGCCACAGAATCATTGTCACTGGTGCTGGTCGCCTGTCGGGACCACTCACTCCTTTGGAGAATGCAAGAAAACAGGTGCTGCGGGAGAGCAGGACTGCAGGATTGATGAGGAAATGGATCTTACTACTCCCAGCATTATGGAGCACTGCCAAGGCCCAGAGCTCCTTGGGGGATGATTCAGGAACTGCTTCACCTCAGCTACCAAAGTGTGAAACTTCTTATCCTGTAATTGAGACAAGGCATCTGCCATGTTATTATCCATGCCTGGAACTTCACAGATGCAGAAAATGGGTTTACTGGACAAACACACCATGACTAATCCTTGGACCAAATGCATTACCCTATCCAAGTGTGGTCTGGACTACCAGACCACAACCCAAACCACTGTCTGGTTCTCACACCAAAAAGAGATCTCTTTGTTTTTGAACTCTTCTTACCATATGGTGGCCATCACCAAGATGGGAAGAACTCAGGGAAAGTGACATTACAAAATAAGCCATTCTCCCATCCAGTGTGCAGGTCAGCACTCAGCAGACCAAAGCCCATGCTACCTGAAGCATCTGTCATTACCTGGATGATTGTATGCCCTACAAACTCTTGCTAGAACAAAATCCCATCGAAAACAGTCAGAAACAGAAGCCATACCCTAAATTTCTCCTGAAAGTCTTCTGCCAAGTGCATGCAGTGATACTGGATAGGCCACATGAAAAATGTAAGTACCCTCAAATCACATGTATTTACATCAACCCACACTTTTTGTGACTCATATCTCATCATAACATGTTCTGTTGACATCAAAAAGGCCCACCTTTGGGTATCAGATTTTGACCCTGAAATCTAAGGGAATGGGAAACTGCTAAAGTACCCAAAGCAGTTAAGAATGATCCCAGCACTCGAGAAGGGAATCCAAAGGAGGCACTATAAGTTTGTAGAAGCCATCCTGAAAGAAAGACTCACAGAAAATAAGAGAATACAAACATAGATCTCTAGTGTCAAGCGGGCTGAGATCAGTTGCTTTGAGAAAACAGCAGAATCCTTTCTATATTGCTCATTGAAACAATATGCTAGCAAAATGGGGGCTCTTCTCACCAAAGTCATAGCTTGGAGCAAGACACTTATTAAAAGCAAGCCTACTTTTCTTTTCTGTTTGCCCAGCATTGGTTGTTATATTTTTACTTGGCATGCTTTGAGTAAAGCTTTAGTTTACATAATTCTCTGTGGCCATCTGGAACTATTTTTTTCCCTGTTGCTGAATGTTAACAATATTTTGAGGGTATAGTTACTAAATGGTGGAGGCAATAATTCAAGGGCAAAAAAATTTCCGTTGTGTACATGAATCAGGAGGCTGTTTTCGTAATCTTTTCCAGAACCCTCAAATTCTGGCATCACTCACTGACTGTTAATAACATTTACCTAAGTCAGTGGATTCCTAACCTTGGGTCTCCAGATGTTCTCGGACTTAAGCTCCCAAAAGCCCTCACCACTAGCTGTGCTGGCCAGGATTTTTGGGAGCTGCAGCTCAGTAACATTTGGGGACCCAAGGTTGGGATCACTGACCTAAGTCATGCTCAGTGAGTGTTTTGTACACTGTTAAAGGAATATGTGAG